ATCTTAAGAGTGAGTGTGCACCTGTAATCACAGCTATGTGGGAAGCAATAGGAAGGTGGATCTGGACTGGGTTCAAGGCAAGTGCTGGACAAAAAAGACAGGACCCAACCAGAAGACACAGGAGAAAACAGGGTTGGGAGCATGACTCAACTGGTAGAGGGCTTTCCTAGCAAGCAGAAGGCCCTGAGTTCAATCTCTAGAACAAAAGAGAAAAAAAAATTAGCTCTATCCTTCAAACTGTCCTCCAATTACTACAAAAAAATAAAATAAAATGTTACAATAACAATGCAAATAAGGCATTAAAACAACAAGAATATATCCCTACCAAAACCTACCTTATTTTCTGACTAATGACATTACTATACCAGAATATTTAGATTTCCTCACTGGTGGTTAATCCACACATATTAACACTTTCAAACCTAAATCAAAACTTTGTAACATTTGAAATTTATACAATTCAAGAAATCCACTGAAACAAGCACACTAAAATGACATACTCAACTAAAATATGGAAAGCATCAATGTCCTACATCTATTTAGAGACTGCTTTTTCCTCAAGGAAAACTGCCACCAATTAAAATTTTTTTTATCAGTAAGACTTCTTTCTTGCCTGACAAGAGTAAAACTTTAAGGGGGCAAAAATCTTGGAACTTAGCTAGAATCTGGTCTCATGCTTTTCTATTCCCTTAATTGTACAAAAAATGGAAATCATAATGTAGTATGTTCTCTTGTGTTAATACAGGAGATCTGAAGGACCACCAACAACTTTCTGAGTTATAAGAGTATGGTAATTGTCAAAACTAAGTGGAATTCTGGGATAAAAATTTTAAATCTCATTGTAAAACGGTTCTAATCCCTTCTACACTAAACCTTTTATCAAGATCTTTACAAATGTCCTATCTAGATCTTTCCTCTCTTGAATTCTTAAATCCAATAAGTGTTTTCTGAGAATATTCTAAGTAAAATATACTCTTCAAAGTACTTGCAAGTTAGCTTTATTTCAGGTCACATCAACTGTATGATGACATCTTCACTTTGTATATAATTAAAGCTTAGAAAAGCAAAGTAACTTGTCCTGATTATAAAGATGTTAGAGACAAAATGCATCCGAATTAAGGCTTTTAGACTACTCCACTATAAGACCCTATCACTTTTATTGGTGATTACATGCATCCTTATAGCACATTTGTACCATTAGCTCTCACTCTTACATTGGTGTTTTAATAGCAACAACTGGTGTGAGTTCATATTTCAGTGTCTTACAAAATGGTTCAAGTTGTTTACATGATAGAAATAGGATAGGCTGTGTAAGTCTGGACCCCTTAAAAAAAATCTCAAATCCTCACAATTATTTACTATTAAGTATTAACCCATTTAATCCTCACAGAGCACCAAGGAGATAGTACATTGTCTCCTCTACTAAAGTGAAAAAAAACAAAGACTAAAGAGTTTGTCTAATTTAAGTAAGTATTCTTAGGTGGTTATGAGCCAGGCCTCAAGTTAAGTCATTCTTTATGGAGTGTCTACTTGTTTAATGTTAAAACTGTATCTCTACGACTAGATAACAACTAAATGAAATCATAAATGCATACAGTAGGGGTACCCCAATATGATTTCTTGGATATGACACCAAAAACAGAAAACAAAGAAAGAGGCAAATAAAACTTTAAAACTTTTAATCAGCAAATGACACAATCATCAGCATAGCGAAAAGACAACTTACAGAATGGGAGTAAATAGCACCAAATTATATAAACATCTGATATGTAAGAATTTTTTTTTAAAAAATCTCAAAAACTGCCTGATTTCTACAAATGGCCAGAAGGAAGGTGAAAAAAAAATTGTTCAACATCACTCATTATCAGAGAAATACAAATCAAAAGCAAAATGAGATATCACCTCCTATTGAAGTTGCTATCCTGAAAACAAACAAAAGCCAGAAATTGTCAGGGAAGACGGTTTAAAAGGAGAACCCTTGAGTGCTCTGTTGATAGGAATATAAAATGGTGCAGCAGTTGTGGAAAACAGTATGGTGGTTCCTCAAAAGTTAAAATTAGAATCACTACATAATCCAGCAACCCCCTCTTGTGGGTGTATATCCAGAATTCAAAGCAGGATCTTTGCACTCACACTTAGTAGCAAGATTCACATTATTCTAGCCAAGTGTTTTAAGAACCCAAATGTCCAGTGACAGATGGATAGGAAAATACAATGTGGACACAGCTAGATACATATGCACACATATATAAATATATGTAATAAATATGTAGATAACATACAAATGGAATATTACTCAGCATTTAAAATAAAGGAAATCTGTCACATGGTACAAAATGGATGAAGCTAAGTAAATAAGCAGTCACAGAAGTGCTGTACAATTGATTCTACTTGCATCAGGTATATAAAATAAACAAAAAACTTGAAAGTATAATTTTGTAATTGTCATGGCTTGGGAAAGGGTGTGGGAGTTAGATGGTAATTTAGTTGGTAGTTTCAGAGTTAAAAGGTACAGAAGACCTCCCGCACAACAATGTGAACAAGCTTACCACCATTAAATGATATGCCTGAAGTCCAGCTACGATGGTAAAATTTGTTGCCTTTATTACAATTAAAAATATTAGCTTTCTTTTCTTTCACTTCTTTTCCTGTTCCTGGATACAGTGCCTTAGAGCTAATGTAAAGGGATAGAATAATGTAAAGGGACCAAGGGTTTCCACAATGTAAGAGAGGGGGAAGGGAGAGAGAAAAACAGAAGAGAGGGGAGGAGAGGAGAGGAAATGAGAGAGAGAGAGAGAGAGAGAGAGAGAGAAAGGCAACGAAGTGAAACAGGGAGCTCCACATTCTCATTTAACCTCCTTAATCTGGGAATACTTTGAACCTGAAGCAAAACGTTACCCTATTGAAAGGGCAATGGTGTAGTGGCTAAAGGCATTTTGGATCTAAAAGCTCAGCCACTCCTCCGGCTTTGCCACTTAATGTGTGACCTTGGGTAAGATATTTTCCTTCCTTCCTTTCTTCATTCATTCATTCATTCATCTAAGTCCTGATCAAACGAATCCTCTACATAAGACTGATCTGAGAAATTAATGAGATAATTCACACAACATGCCAAGAACTCTTGGCACTTTGTGAGTGTTCCAATGTTCACTGTATTACTTTGAAGTCTGGATAGTAGGACAATGAATAAGATGAATTCAACTAATTCCTTATGTCTTAAGAGATGTATTTACCTAATTTGTTGATGATTATGGTGCTAGCAAGTCAGAGAGCATTTGGCAAATCATTAGAAACTCTTGATCGTTCTTGCCAAACGTGTGCTCCTGTCTTTAGAGGGCTCTGCCTCTCCCTCCCAGGGAAAAGCAATGTCATCTCAGGTATTCCAAGATGTTTGCTTTGGGAACAGTGTTCTACAGAATCCGGAGACGGTGAGACCTGAGGCTGGCCCCCGGAGGGCCGGGTCCTCTCCCCTCCGAGGGGCCTGGGCACTCTGGGGGGAGGGGATGGGAACGCGAGGTGGGGGGACACCCAGCCCCCCACACGCAAAGCTGCCAGGACCCCACCTGACAAGTCTCCTCTGGGCCGGCTGGGGGCGAGACGGAGGGGGGGCGGCGGCGGGGTGGGGGCGCTGGCGGGGGCGGCGGGAGGAGGGCGGGCCGGGGCGGGGAGGGGCGCGGGGGCTCACCGCGGGCCGCGGGCAGCGGGTACAGCTTCTCGGCCTTCTGCAGGAAGCGCTGGGCCTTGTCGCGGTTGCCGGCCTCCAGGGCCTCCCGGGCGATCTGGACACATTTCTCCGCCTCATCCCGGTTCCCCTCCATGGCGGGCGCCGTCTTCCGCTTCCTCCGGTAGCGCAGCTACGCGGGGAGAAGCCGCCGCCGCGGCGGAGGAGGCGAGGCGGGCCCGGGAGGGGGCGTGCGGCGGCGGCGGCGGCGGCGGGGCGGCGAGCGGGGCGGAGCGCAGGGCCCCGCGGCGGAGGCCCGGCCTCGCAGCTCCTCCTCCTGCCCGCGGCCTCCCCGCCCCCCGCGGGCAGCGACCGCGCGAGCCGCAGCCCTCCGGGCCCCGGACCCAGCTCCGGCCGGGCAGGCTGGGCGGGGCGAGGGCGGGGCTCCGCGGGGCGGGGACCCGCCGCCGGCCTCGCTCCGGAGCGCCGCGAACCTTGACCTCCGCCGCTGGCGGGCGGGAGGACCGGGCCCCGGGGCCTCGCGACTCCCCGGTGGAGGGCCCCGCCCGCCGGGCGCCCCGCGGGCTGGGACCCTGACCCCTTTCCCCACCTGCCGACCCGGCGCACTCGCGTGCAATCTGCAATTCCGGTGAAGAACTAGAGCGGCACCCAAGTAACCTGCACCTCCACCTTCCATGTTTACCGTCGCCTCAGGGAAACACCGGGTCACCTCTGGGAGGAACTCAACTGTCTAGAAATGCCCACGAATTCTTTGAAAGAGCAACTAGGTGCAATCTGTGGCCCCTGTGAAGGTGTGGATATGTTCATAAACTTAAAACCTATACAACTTGCCTGACCCCAGTGTCAAATGAACCACTTGACCCAACCCAGCATCAAATCTTACAAGTTATGCTATTATTCAGCTACTACCATTACACAGTAGGAATCCCAAATCTGTTTTTAAAAAGGGACCAGTATACCCCGTGCTCAGTATTTTGATTTCAAGCAGTGTACCAAGTCTACACTGACCATCTGTTCTGCAGAGGTGGCTATATTCAGGACTTCCCCACCTGCCCAGGTGCACTAGTCAGATGATTAGTATAATGCTACCTGTCACAAATGGCCAATAGGCCACTGGACAAACACCTACCAACCATCTCTACTCCAGCATCTAATGTTCTAACAGTTCTATTATAAAGTATCTTAAAATTGTGCTTGGATTATCTGGCTTTATCTACAAATTAACTTGTTTAATTCCTAAGTAGATGTACTTAGTTCTTATTATGATGAGACCTTCAAAAGAAGTAAGTTTGTTACAATCAAACAAGTTTAAAGCCACTACTTTGGGATATGACCTTTATTGAGCTTATCCACTGGAGTGGAAATAATGTCTGTACAAAACCAAATGTTGTTACTATAACTTCTGCATCACAATTAAAATCCAAACAGTTTTTTAAAAACAGTTAACTCAATCAAAACCCACTACTTCAGAATCAATAGCTTCTTTGAAGCCACAGTAACACTTAAATATGGTTAAGACTCGAATGCAGAAATTTGGTTGGTTGGAAAGCTAATTAAACTTTCAACCTGCTCAAATAGAATTACAAAAAGGCAAAATTGTGTTTTTTCACAGAGATACAGTCCACTGGAATCACCAACACTGGACAGCTGTTAAGAGTATTTAGAGTCCTGAGATAACAAGGAATCCAGGCATCCTTTAGACAGTCTTCTGTTGTCCTTTCTTCCCAATAAGAGACTTGTGGATGTGGGGGATGACACCTAGAAGAGTGACAGGGATTAATTCTATTTTTCACTGTATCTACATTTTAAAGTCACAATACATGAAATCAAGACAGCGTATGATGCAACCTATATCTTTTAGAAGTACCAACTTCTAATATAAAGAAAAAGTTACATAAACCAGATCCCACGTATCCATCAAAAAAACCTAATGGAAATTAAAAGATTTTGTCTGCCCTTTTCTAAAGGAACTTAAAAGTCGCTGTAAATTACGTACCACCACCAGCAATGGTAGCCTTGATGAGAGAGTCCAATTCTTCATCTCCACGAATAGCAAGTTGCAAGTGACGAGGGGTAATGCGCTTTACCTTTAAATCTTTTGATGCATTTCCTGCCAACTCAAGTACCTAGAAGGCAGAATCCCATCGGTCTTCCGGGTACCCTACTGCCAAGAACTAAAGCCCACAATCAACCCTTAAGGAATGCAAATCCATACCCAAGCCTTCGCCTCCCACTACCTGAATGGGCCGGATTTGCAAACGCTATTCAGGAGGCACGCAATTACAATTCCAAGAGCAGCAGACCCGGGCTGGGTGGGCTCCCCTGAGCTCCCCCTAGCGTCCGCACCCGTCTCGCCGCCGCTTCGGGTCTGCGAGTTTTCTTGCATCACTTTCCTTCCCTCTCACCGCTCGCTTCCCCCCCCCCCCAGCCCCCCACAACCCCCAAACCTCCTCCAGATTACGGGCAGAGGCACCCCCGTACCTCAGCGGTGAGATACTCCAGGATGGCTGCGCTGTACACAGCGGCGGTCGCTCCCACACGTCCGTGGCTGGTTGTCCTAGATTTCAGATGTCGATGAATACGGCCAACTGGGAACTTCAAAAAAAAAAAGGCAAACACGAATGCACAACGCGATTGAGTCCCAAGATGGGGAGCTCACCAGCGCGCCCAGGCGAGGGGCACGGACCGCGGCGCTGCGACGCGCCCGTACGCACGTGATCGGGGGGGGGGACCCCCCCATGGCCCCCGATTTTACCAGAATGATCAATCGGCAGGCCGGGGTGGGGGGGGGGTGCACGCCCGCCCGGGCCAAACGCCCATCGGGAGAGCTCGGGATCAACGAGGGGAAAAAAAAAAAAAAGAGGATGCGAAGACACAAACGCCACGATTCGCCGACTGCAGGCGCCCGGCCACCTACCTGCAAGCCGGCTCTCTGCGAGCGGGAAACCGCCTTTGTCTTGGCCTTTCCGGAGTCCTTCCCAGCCTTACCACCAGCCTGCGGCGGCGCGGACGCCCGAGCGCGGAGGAGGAACGGGAGAAATCTACGATTACCCCAGGGCGGCCCGGCCCGGCCCGCCCCTCCCCCACGGCGAGCGCGTCCCGGGCGCCCGCGCGCGCCCCCGCGCGCGCCCCCGCGCCCGCGCCTGCGCCCGCGCGCGCGCGCCCCCGCCCCGCCGGGGTCTTCGGCCCGCCGCGCGCCGCCAAGGGCGACCCCGCCCGCCGGCCCCCGCCGCCGCGGCCGCGCGCCGCCGCCGCCAGCCCGCCGGCCCCCAGCGGCGCCGCGCGCGCCACCCAACCGCCGCCGCCCGCCGCTAGATCCCAGGCTGCTCCGCTCCCAGCCAACAAAACACCTCCCACCGCGCCTCCAAACCCCGGCTCGGCGCGTCCCCAACCGTCACCATCTCACCCCCATCCCCCCTCCCCTCCCCGCCCGGGTAACGGGTTTTTCTCCCGCCGGCAAAAACCCGCGGAGTCATCCGGCGCCCCGGCGAAGTTTACCATCTCGAATTCTGCTGAAGCTCACGCAAGCAAGGCAGAGAAAAGGCTAGTCGGACGCACGGCGAGGCCCCGGACACCTACTCCGTCGTCGCACCGCGATTCAAACTGCGCTGTCTCCCGCCTTCCCTGCTCCCTTTATACCGCAGAATGTTCCCTCATCCGGGAACTCGGATTGCTCATCCCACCAATGGCGGCCACCCGCCCTCGGGACG